TAGGACATGTACACAACACATCTTAATTCTTTCACTTCTTTCCCTTCCCTCTCACCTCCCTCCACTTCTCAATTCTTTGAGGAAGATCTATCTCCCTATTTCCTATTATCTAACCTTCATTTTGCTCTTTATTTTTATTCTGAGTTTCTCCTGTAAGAGCAACCATGAGATATTTAAGCTTGTGTGTCTGATTTACTTCATTTAATATTATGGTCTGAAGGTGCATCCGTTTTTCTACAAGCGATTGAAGAGTCTATAATCATATAAAATTATTTCCACATTATTTCAAATGATTATGCATTTTGACACTAATAGCATATGCAACTGGCTAGATAATGCAGTTTGACAGCATGTTTAGAAATGGAAATTCTCGACATTTGGAACCCAGACCAGCAGCACAGAATCACCTGGTAGGTTGGTTAAAAGACCGCTTGACCCTACATCCCACCCCAGAACATAAAACATCAGAATCTCTTGAAATGCGGTTCAGGAATCTGCATGTTTAATAAGCTCCTAGTTAATTCTTACTCAGAGTGAAGTTTGGAAACACTAGTTTGAAGATATGCAAAGTGTTGTGGTCACTTGACAGTAACTTTTCCCATTTCGATCTATGACCTTCAAAATTTGTTGATGACACTGTCAAAATTTAGTACTTTCTTTGCCTTGAGAGCAATTTAGTAAATATAATCACCCTAAAAATTAAATACCACGGTGGTTAGGCTGGGGTATCAACTTGATTTGCTTTGGGATCCACCCAGGTGATTGGTCAAGCACACTTCTAGATATGTCTGGATGAGTCATGGAGGTGTGGCCTCGGGGTTTATGTCTGGTCCCCCAACCTTTCCTCTCAGGCTCTGTTCCCTTACTCTGCTTCCCAGCCATTGTTAGCTAAGCATCTTTGCTCTGTTACACCTCTCCATCATGCTTCCTCCCTACAGCCAGTTGAACATGGACTAATCCCCTAAATCTGTGAGCTAAATTAAACCCCTTCTCGTTGTGGGTACTGGGGTATAGTGTGCCAGTGACAGGAAAACTGACTAGTACAGATACCTTTCAATGTTTTTCGGTCAGCATTGTTGATTCAGCCTAACTGTAGGTCACTTAAGAGAAAAAAAAACTACAAGGAAAAAATTTGCAGTTATTTACAAGCTGATTCGTGACTATTTCAGAGCATGGTCTGAAACAGAAAGCTCCACTGTACTATACTGCTCCAGGCGTCATTCTCAGAGACAGCTGCTTCTTAGCAGCCCTTGCACTTCTGGGTAGGACCCCCTCATCATAGCATGCTACAGAAGAGCCTTGCAAACTTGATGTCCTGCACAGGCAATGAATGTGCTGCAGTGATTTCTTCACAGAGTAACTGCTAGGTTTTCCCTCGTTCAGCAACTGCTCACTTTCAGTGAACAATGGTCAACTTGTGACTTTTTTCTCCATGTTATGCTTGTTCTGATCATATTCATGTTGAACCTAATATGAAAAAATATCAGTCTTCAACACTGCATGTTTTTCCACCTAGTCTTTTTTACTGGGATTTGAACTCAGGACCTTGGACTTGTGAGGAAGCCAGTGGCACCACTGAGCTAAATCCCAGCCCAGAATTCATTTTTATTACATTTTTCAAATGCATAACTATATAACAAATTTTTATATGATAACTTCATCAAAGATAGTTTGCAAAGCACTGCTATATACCATCCTCATTAAACAAATTCAGATAAAACACAGCTTTGGTTGAAAATTGTTACCTACAATAGGACAGAAGATTGAACTAGATTATCCATGAGATTCTGCAGTGCCATGATTCTCTGTGGATACAGTCATATCCCATTTTCCTGCAGGTGTATTATTGACTCTATGAATTACCCATGGCAAATTTTTATACCTAGAGCTGATTTTCTGCTGCCTATCATTGTATCTCTGAACCTACTCTCCTACTGTGAGACTGTGAGGGTTTAAAGAATAAAGAGCATTTTAATAACACTCTGGTCAAACTGTAATTAAGAAAGGTAATACCACCAAATATATTACATGCTACACATCAAAGATAAACTCCAGATATCTCTTACCATCTGATGCTTTGGATTACCACTTCTCTCCTCTACCAGCACAAGTTTAATTCCTTCACCTTATCTTTTTTAAAAAATGCCTAAGACTCAACATAAGTGTTATCTGCAATTCCATGTCTGCTTGTCATCCTCTCTCACTGTTTTATACTGGCCACAGTTGTTTTTACATTGTTGGTCATGTCATTTCTTTGTTAGCCTGTACTGCATGAGCAAGTATTTTCAAATTTCTATTTAACCTATCAGGAACCTTAAAAGCTAATGTTGGGAAGTTGTATTTATTCTCCAGAGAATGTGTAGACAATGCAAGTTTTAAAAGCCATCCAATTAAATAAACTTCTGTCTCTGGGAACGAGATTCCCTGAGTTGGTTCTCAAAGCCCTAGTGTTTATGAAATCTCACAAGGTATTCCTCACTGTAAGCTTTGAGTAAGTAATAGCACCACAATCTGCATTACTATGAGTGTTTTCAAAATGTGATGACCCTCTGAAAGTTTCCAGATGGCTTCTTTGTGTGCTGTTAAAGACCATCTGGCTAGCTGTAGATAAACAATTTTCAGCATACGGGCCATGGCACATACACCACTCTGCTGTACTAGTGCAGAAAATTAAGCATTGGTCATTCTCTTGATATGTGTAACTCATGCAAAAGAAGCAGTGCCATGTAGTAGAGGGGCTGCCTGGTGGCGAACACAGAAGAGCTTAGTTCCAGTTCCTCTACCACTCACCAGTCATACCATCTCTCCTCAGCTCCTCATACGAAAATGCAAAACAGTGGATCAAGAAGCACTTGTGAGATGGGTAGGGGAAGGGTAATAAGGGAAAAGAAAAAAATGTGAGAAAATGAAAAGATGGAAATAAAGTGTTTGTAGATGGGGAAGGGATGAGGGGGTGAAGGGAGGGCAGGGGTAAGGGGAAAAAATGAGAATCAAGACCTGTCATGTAGAGGTACAAGATTCCAAAAATGAATGTAACTGTACTGTATCCCTAAAATGTACCAATAAACTCAATTAAAGCTGGAAAAAAAAAGAAGCACTTCTTATATGTCCACATTGTAGATGTTCCCACAATGGTGCTATGTAAGAAGCATATTAATGAGGAAAAAGGACATGGTCCTGGCCCCCAAAGAATTACTGATAGATGAAAAAGACATCTATCAAAAACCCCAAAGAATTAAAAGAATCAATACCACAGTGACATATGCTCACCCATGTTTATAGTGGCAGAGTTTGTTATAGCTAAAACTTGGAAACAGCCCAATTGCCCATCAACTGGAGACTGGATAAAGAAGATGAAGTTCTTTTTTTATAAAATGGAGAATGACTCAGCCATAAAGAATGAAAAACTAGAGACATTTATAGCTAAGTGGATTCACATTGAGGACATACTCAAGTGAAATTAATAGGACACATGAAAATACTGAATAGTTTCTCTGGTGTGATAAACTAAAAGTGTAAATAACAAAATATATAATTGATATTGTGTAATAGGAAAAAAGGTCTAAAGGTGTAGGGTCTAAAGGGGTTGGGGAAAGGTAAGGAGGGAAAAGAAAAAAAAATGAGAGAAAAGGAGAAAATGCAAACAATCTTTGTAAGTAGGGAAGGGTGGAGGGGGTGAAGTGGAATGGGGAAAAATAAGAATGCAAAGGTGCAAGACTCCAATGATGAATGTAACTGTATTATACACCTAAAATGTATCGATAAAGAAAAAAAATAATTGAGAGCAGGGAGATTATCCCAGACAGAGAGGGAAAGCATGTGTGAAGGTCCTGAGCTATGAAAGAACATGGACTGTTTGAAATAAGTTAAGATTTATAAACATTTATATCCACTAAATTGAGGCATTAGTTGATAATTGAAATGCAGAAAGGAAAAGTCCCACCACCTCCAGATGGCAATTCAGACAATTATATTAGCATAAATTATTTGAAAGACTGCATTTTTACATTCCTATTATTGATCTTATTTCTGCAATCAATGAACTCAATAAGACAGAATGAAAATACAATCACCGAATATAGCACAGACACAAGCCTCTCAAACACTGTAGTAAATGCTTGAAGAGTTATGAAACAGTTTCCATAAAATTCACAAATTCTATGAACGCCACCTGTTTAATATTTACAAAATAAAACTAAACACTGGGGCGCTAGGGATTCTGTTATCTCTTACAAGTACTTCCCTTCCCAAACATCGCTTCCCAAAACTCAGCCTTGCCAGAAGACGACTGCTGGATACCCTAGAGTGAGAAGAGAGATTAGTCATAATATTCACTTTTTACTTGAATAGTCACAAAGTATATATACAAAATTTACATCAATGATTTCTCAACTCTTAGTGAAAATGAAAGCTGCGCCTGCAGCACAAATGACGTTATATGTAAATACTACTCACTACTGGGTATTTTTCTCATTCCCTTTAAGTTACTGCCATCTCTCATTGCAATGTCATGTACCTAAAGTGTAGTATGAACATGAAAGCCAGCCCTCATGTGGCCAGAATCAAGCAAAGAGTTCACTGCTTTGGAAAGTCAAGCAGGATAAAGAGTCAATTTGAATAACTAAAGTCATAATAAAAAATTAAACAAATATTTGAAAACCTAAATACAACTAACTATAATGTCCTGACTTACACTAAAAGAAAGAAAAATATCACTTCCTGCAACCTGATATAATCCTTACTATACTATATTGTGACACTTTTGAGATATGTCTGTGTTCTCCTGATGGCAAATGCCTCAAAAGTAAAGACTTTATTCCTTCAACATCCACAATGCTGAATGTAGAAGGAGCCCAATAATTTCTTTTAATTAAGTCAAGAAAGTCATTAATTTAAAATTATGTTGCTATAGGATGGAATCATCATGATTTTTGTTTTGTTTTGTGTTTTTCCCTACCAGGAATTGAACTTGGGGCCTCACACTGGCCAGGCAGGCACTGTGCCACTGAGCTACATCCCCAGCCCTTGAATCTTCATGTTGAAATGTAATTTAGTACAAAATTGTCAGCTGTTAGAATTTTAGCAACATGTGAAGTTTGCCCTTGAGTCATCTTTCATATAGCAACACATATGACATCAGACCTTTTATTAAAAACGATTCCTTAAGTTGCTTTATTACAGCTACAAATAACCTTTATTTGATGTAATGTAATAAAACATTTTCAAATGTAACAACATGTATCTGACCATGATTAATCATTTAAATTGTGAATGTAAGTATATACGGTCACTTTAGCGAATCTGCAGTTTGGGAATTTGTACAAGCTTTGTCTGAAAGGACAGTGCCAAGCTCCCCTTGCAGGCAACCCCTCCCTGTGTCTGGTGAGAAGCAATGTCAACAACAGTTGGAAGAAGTCCAAAATCCACGTTTAAATTCCACTTTATCCTGTGAGAAGTCAGCTTCCTTTATTGTAATAAAATAATATTCTCTTTAAATTCTCTTTTACTCAATGAAGATTTTCATTCATTTTCCCCTTATAATTACGGGTACTTTCCTGATCTACTGTCTTTGTGTCCTTAGTTCAGACTCAGTACAAAAAAATTTTTTTAAATACTATCCCCCAAAGGCCCAATTCTGCTCCCTTACCTACCCTTAATGTCTACTACTTTTATGGGGGAGGGAGGGGGACAGAATTACCCAGGAACACATTTGATTTAAAATACAGAGAACACGGAAATGGTCTCCAGATGGAATGATTGTGTTCTGGATCACTGCCAAGTGGCAGTCCAGGTAACCTCCACTTCACATAATTCAGCTAAATGATTACATTTATGCTCCATCTCCAGAAGCATCACAACCATTTAGAGAAACTCTTACTGCCACACTTTCTCACATCATACACTTATGGACCAGCCCCGTGGGCTCATTGCACCCTCCTCTAAAGTGAGAGCAAACAACATGCCAATAATCTTGTTAATATACAATGCGGTTAGCTAGCATTCACTCTTCATCCCAGTAAAAATTGTCACAAAAGGAATCCCTCTCACTTCTCAGGACCCTTCCGAAGTGCAAGTGCAAGAAAAAGCTTAATTCAGGTTTTCTGCTTCTCTCCATCCTGAGACCTGTTCCTGAGTTATACTGTAACAATGAGGGAGTTAACGAACAGTGGGAAACCACAAGGACCCTGCAGAAAAGCAAAATTATTTGACAGAAGCTTTAAACAAACACTGCTCTGGGGAAATTGTTTGTATTAGCTGATGACTGGACTTGGTTTTCTAACATGGACATGCAACATATTCAACACTATGCTTACCGCAGTTTTCTTGGAAAGACACCCTTCTGTCATACAACAAAATACATACATTCTGGCTCAAGAATGATTCCTGAATATTCACCACAATGCCTAGACTCAGAAGCATGGGACACGTGCATTGGTACCTTCTCCCACTTGCAGGGATATGGACATATGCAAAGCACCAGAAACTGCTTCCCTTGTGGAACTCAGTTCTGAGTGTGCTTACTGCTGAGATGGTCTGGCTGTCTTACACTGAGAAATATTTTCATTTGCACACAATAGTATTGATCCACAGAAAACAGAGAGGTCACCATCTCCCCCCATAATATACTTTGTACAACAGATCACCCTGTTTGTGATGTTTTGAGCCATCCGAAGAAAGGGCAGAAGCCTCATTCCATTTTGCAGTCTTGGCAAATAACTTCATTCTGTTTCCACCTGTTTTGCTTGTTTAATTCATCTCCATTATTCTTCTTTGGATCATGAATCGTGACCTTTTTTCCTACAGTAGTCAGAGTTTTGTCTATACAAAAGAGAGAGAGAAGAAAATATTTTAGAAGAGCCGTAAAGTGAGTTTTCATTTTTGCAGTGGGTGGATTTAAATTTGTATTATCAGTCAGTAATTTGAATCATGTGTGGCTTCTAAAGGTTTATGAGCATCTCCAAAGGAAAAGAAAAAGTGCTGTGCCTTTTTTCATAAATTTCATAACTTATATTAATTTTCAAGCCCTTAATATATTTGCAAATCAACACCAAATAACCCATTTAGAAATTATCTCATAATACAGCTAGAGACCAAAATGGTTTTGCTTCCTAAAATCCTTGCAAAATACGGTAGCATTCTCCTACTTGAAAAGAATGATGGAGAAAGGAATAATTACTAATGAGAGTGTCCTCCCCTTCAGGCCTAGTAATGTTTGAGGTAATCTATGTGTGCAGAAACCAAAAACCTACTTCCTTCACCTCCTCCTTTCCAAATTCACAAAAGTGGCATGAGTCACGGAGAAGCGTCAGCCAACAGCTGAGATAAAGTCTCCTCCTCCTGCCGGTGCCGAACACACTCCTCTAACTCCACGCCTTTACCACACTGTACCTCGTGCTTTAGGCTGGGACTAGCAGTCCCACGCCTGGGAATGTGCTCCTGATCTCAGCCTCAGCACCCTACTTAAAGCCCTCCCCTTGTTTAGCTGTCACGCCGTCTGTCCTTCTCCTCTTTATCTGACAGCCCCCTCTCAGCCCGGTCATTCAGATTTGTGACTCAGTAGATGGATTTCTTGGTCACAGGATTTGTTTCTCCCTAAGACATGGTCTTTGGCTTTGCCCATAAGCCTCACACAGTGGTGCCTCAGAACAAAAGCTGCACAGAAGCTCAGGCCCTGCTTTCTGGTCTCCTGAGCATCCGGAGTAGGGACTAGAAATACACAGTATCCCCAGTCATGTTCCATAAACACTTGCTTCTAGCCTGGTCCTTTCTCCGTTCTCGGTTCCAGAGGAGACCACACCTAGGCATCCTCTTCAGCTCAGCATGCACCGGCACCAGTTTACGACTCTACTGAGTCCCTGCAAGCCTCACTCTCAACACCATTCCCCATCCCCCACCTGCCAGCCAGTGGTGATGGTCGAGAGTCCAACTCCCAAGCACCTCAGGGACCACCGGCTTCTTTCCTACTCGGCACTAACCTCCTAGTGCAGGCCTCTTAAATCCTGATCTTACATTATTCCTGCAATCCATGCCCCTTCTGCTGTGAGGCCTTCCCTACTTCGTGCCCACTTCGCTTGGGCTCCTTCCTGCACAGAAGCTTTCCTCTCTCTCCCCCCAGTCCTATTCAAGCTGATGCCAATCCACGCAGCTTCCCAGCACCCCTCTGACCAAGTTGTCCTCCCAGCTCCTTCTCTACCACCCTCTAGATCCACCTCAAATATCATCTCTTTTGTGTTTTCCATCCCAGAGACATTTCTTCCTAAGAATGAAGCCCTTCTGTGTTCTTCCTTAAATTATACTCCTCCGTAGTGCTTAATTTTACATTATGCTATGTGAGTTTATTGCCTACAAAAAAAAAAAAAAAAAAAAGTAAAAGAGGGCAGGGCTGGGCATATGAGTAAGTGGAAGGATGCTCTCGGCATGTGAGGCTTCCACGATTTGATCCCCAGCACTGCAAACAAACAAAAATGGGACAATCTCTTGCCTTTTCTACTTTAAGGAGATGTCACAAAGTTGAAATATAGGCAATTGCAAAGCACAATGCAAATAAATTATCATTATTACTAGTTGATGACTTAGTAAAATGTTGAATTTCAGCTAGTTTACAATGAGGGGGGAAAGTCCATGATTTGTCTATTTTTGTATTTTTAAGATAGTGACTCATCAAAGATACTCAGGGTTACTGTTTATTATCAGATCATAGTGCAATCAAACTAGACATCAATAGCACAAGAAACTATAGAAACTTCACAAGCACATGGAAACTGAACAACACTCTCCTAAACAATCAAGGGATTACAGAGGAAATTAAAGAAGAAATTAGACAGTTTTTACAAATAAATGAGAATGCCAATACAACATACAGGAATCTTTGGGACACAATGAAAGCAGTTCTACGTGGAAAATTCATAACATTGAATGCCCACACTAGGAAAACAGAGCGGGCTCAAATAAACAACTTAATGATGAAACTTAGACTCCTAGAAAAACAAGAGCAAGAAAAACCCAAAGCTCGAACAAGAGAGGAAATTATAAAGATCCGAGCAGAAATCAATGCAATTGAAATTAAGAAAACGATACAAAAAATAAATGAAACAAAGAGCTGGTTTTTTGAAAGAATAAATAAAATTGACAAACCCTTAGCTAATCTTATCAAAAAAAGGAAAGAAAAGGCTCAGATCCATGCAATTAGGAATGAAAAAGGCGAAGTCACAACAGATCCGAAAGAAATCCAGAGGATCATGAACACCTACTTTGAGAACCTGTACTCTAATAAAATGGAAAACACAGAAGAAATGGACAGATTTCTAGATACTTATGAATTACCAAAGTTGAACGAAGAAGATAAAAACATTTTAAACACCCCAATCACAATCAGTGAAATTGAAAATGTAATTAAAAACTTACCAACAAAGAAAAGCCCAGGCCCTGATGGATTCACTGCTGAATTTTACAAGACATTTAGAGAAGAACTACTACCATTACTCTTCAAACTTTTCAATGAAATTGAAAGAGAAGCTATACTTCCAAATTCATTCCTGGAAGCAAGTATCACTCTGATTCCCAAACCAGAGAAAGATACAACCAAAAAGGAGAACTACAGACCAATCTCCTTAATGAATATAGATGCAAAAATCCTTAATAAGATACTAGCAAACAGAATACAGAGGATTATTAAGAAGATCATCCATCATGACCAAGTCGGATTTATTCCAGAGATGCAAGGGTGGTTCAACATACGAAAGTCAGTGAATGTAATACATTATATTAACAAAGTCAAGGACAAAAACCATATGATCCTCTCAATAGATGCAGAAAAAGCATTTGATAAAATTCAACACCCATTCATGATAAAAACCCTGCAAAAAATTGGAATAGATGGTCTATACCTCAATTTAATAAAGGCTATTTATGAAAAACCATCAGCCAACATCATATTGAATGGCCAAAAACTGAAAACCTTCATGTTAAAATCAGGAACAAGACAAGGATGCCCACTATCGCCACTTCTCTTCAATATAGTTCTGGAAACATTAGCCACAGCAATTAGACAAGAGAAAGAAATTAAAGCAATAAAGATAGGAAAGGAAGAAGTTAAACTATCATTATTTGCTGATGATATGATACTCTACATTGAAGATCCAAAAAACTCCACCAAAAAACTTCTAGACTTAATTGACAGATTCAGTAAAGTATCTGGATACAAGGTGAATACCCAAAAATCAATAGCCTTTCTATACACAAATAACAGACAGACAGAAAGAGAAATAAGGGAAAAAATTCCTTTTACAATAGCATCCAAAAAAATGAAGTATCTAGGAATCAATCTAACAAAAGAAACAAAAGATCTCTACACTGAAAACTACAGCACTCTGAAAAAAGAAATCGAAGAGGATATAAAAAAATGGAAAGATATCCCCTGCTCCTGGGTAGGAAGAATCAACATAGTGAAAATGGCCATACTACCGAAACTGCTATATACATTCAATGCAATGCCAATTGAAATTCCAACACTATATTTCACAGAACTAGAAAAAAGAATCCAAAAATTCATTTGGAACCACAAGAGACCTAGAATAGCAAAAGCCATTATAGGCAACAGTCACATGGCACCAGGTGTAACAATTCCCAATTTGAAACTATACTACAAAGCCACTGTGATAAAATCAGCATGGTACTGGCAAAGAAATAGGCCTGAGGATCAATGGAACAGACTGGAAGACACAAAAACAAATGCAGATGTACTCAGCTACCTCATCTTCGACAAAGGAGCTCACCATCCTCAGTGGAGGAAAGATAGCCTCTTTAATAAATGGTGTTGGAAAAACTGGATATCAACCTGTCACAGATTAAAATTAGACCCTTATCTTTCGCCATGCACTAAATTAAAATCCAAATGGATTAAAGATCTAAATATTAAAACAGAAACATTAAACTTGCTGGAAAGTAAGTTAGGCAGAACTCTGGAAGACATTGGTATAGGAAAAGACTTTATGAACAAATCCTCAGTAGCACGGGAACTAGCAGAAAGAATCAACAACTGGGATCTCATCTTACTAAAAAGCTTCTGTACTTCAAAAGAAACCATTAGCAGAACTAAGAGACAATCTACAATGTGGGAAAAAATTTTTACCAGCTGTACCTCAGACAAAGGACTATTATCAAGGATATATAAAGAACTCAAAACAATCAGTCCCCCCAAATATAAAGACCCGATCCAAAAATGGGCATCCGAAATGAACAGACATTTCTCATACAAAGAAGTGAAAGCAGCAAGAAAATATATGAAAAAATGTTCCACATCACTGGTCATTCGAGAGATGCAGATGAAAACAACACTGAGATTCCACCTCACCCCACAAAGAATGGCTGCTATCAAGAAATCACACAATAACAAATGTTGGCGGGGTTGTGGGGAGAAAGGAACCCTCCTCCATTGTTGGTGGGAGTGCAGACTAGTGCAACCACTATGGAAATCAATATGGAGATACCTCAAAGAGCTTGGACTGGAGGTTCCATTTGACCCAGCCATCCCTCTGTTGGGTATCTTTCCAAGAGAACTAAAAGAATCATATCACAGAGAAGTATGTGCACCCATGTTTATAGCGGCACAGTTTGTAATAGCTAAATCTTGGAAACAACCTATTTGCCCATCCGTTGGAAACTGGATAAAGAAGTTGTGGTTTTTCTATAAAATGGAATATTACTCAGCCATAAAGAGCGAGAGAATAGATTCATTCATAGGAAAATGGATACATATTGAAGATATACTCCTAAGTGAAATAAATAAGTCCCACATGTGTAAATACCAAATAGTTTCC